GAGTCAGCTTTCCTTTTTAATCCGAATAAAAGGCAAAGTCCTTACAGTGGTCTTCAAGGCTTTCTCTCTAGCCACACTGGATTCCTCACCATTTGTTCCACAGACACACCAGAATGTACTCTCATTGTGTCACCAACTTGAAATGTTCAGATGCACAAATGGTACCTTCCTTCAGCCTTCCTTCAGGTCTTTACTCCGCAAGGCCTTTTTTTTTTTTTTTTTAAATTTCAGAGAGGAAGGGAGGAGAGAAACATCAATGAGAGAGAGAATCATTGATCAGCTGCCTCCTGCAGGTTCCCTACTGGGAGCAGAGCCCCCTTACTCTCCCCCAATACATCCTGGGCATGTGCCCTGGTTCATAAGTTGATGCTCAACCCCTGAGCCACACCAGCCTGGCACTCCACAAAACCTTTTTTTTTTTTTTAAATCATTCTAGGTAAATCACAGCTCCCTATCCTTTTAGTTCTTCTCCTCCTTCCTTGCTTTATTTCTTCTTTCTAGCAATTATTATTATTTAATGTATTGTATTTTTTCTTGTTTTACATCTGCCTCCCCCACTAAAATGTAAGCTTCTCAGTGTCACAGACTCCCCCCCCCCCATTGTGTTTATACATCTATATCTCCACTGCCAGGTACAGAGGACTAAGAGTACCATGTTCAATCAAAATTTTCTGGATGGCTCTAGCCAGTTTTGCTCAGTGGATAGAGTGTTGGCCTGTAGACCAAAGGGTCCTGGGTTTGATTCCAGTCAAGGCTCCTCCCCAGCGTGGGTCCTGGTTAGGGCTGGTGTAGGAGGCAACCAATCAATGTTTCTCTCTGTCTTTCACTCTCTTTTCCACTCTTTAAAAATCAGTCGAAAATCATCCTCCAATGAGGATTAAAAACATTTTTTTTTTCCTGGATGAACAATGAATGAATGTAGGTGGTAGTGATGATGGCCTATATTAGGCTTTTATCAGTGGGGATGAGAAGGAAGGGCTGTGTATGAAGTATTTCAAAGGAAAGCACGATAGGAGGGAGTAAGGAGCTTAGGAGGAGAGCCTGTCTCCCAACCTGGTGGACTAAGGTGGCTGCAGCAAGGGGAGGTGGAGTTGGCCAGAAGGCTGAAGCACCACAGTCAGAACCAGGGAAGAAGGTCTCAGAGTTTTCTGGGTGGATTTGGTAGATGGAGCTATGGAAGTGGATGAAACCTGAGCAGATGGAGAGAGAGAGAGAGAGAGAGAGAGAGAGAGAGAGAGAGAGAGAGAGAGAGAAAGAAAACCTGAAGTCTGGACTCTAAAGAATGCTTACAGTCTATAATAGAAAAAGAAAAGTCAGTGGAGGAAAAAAACATAAGCAGTCATTATGAAAGTCCAACGATGTAGAATAAGACATTATTTAAGGAAGCAAAAAAAAAAAAATGGACATTTCAAGAAATAGTTGGTGATCAACAAAGTAAAACATGTCAGAGATTTCTGGATAATTGACATTGGATACTGACGCTTCCTGAGAAGGTTGGTATAGTGAGGCCAGCTTGCAGTGGGTTAAAAGAATAAATAATGAGGAAATGGAGGCAGTGGGTGTCGGCAGGAAATGGAAAAAGAAAATAATCTTTCCTGAAGAGCCGGGCAAGGACTTTGCTTAGGTAACAGTGATCTAAGACAGTTGGGGTAGGAAGAACTAAGTTAATGAGAGAAATGATGATACAGGAGTGGGTAGGGGGGACCATCTCAAGGGAAGGATACTATACTAATAGCAGGAAGGAAGGGAAGGCACAGAAGCTCAGGCTGGGTATGTGGTCTCTTCTTGTGAAGGTACAGGCTTGAAAAGTTGGAGAGTTGGGGGCCACATGCATGTAGAATATGGAGAGATGAACCCAAAGCAGTGTGTAGGGGAGGTGGAGTCTCCATCTTCAACATAAACTAGCAGGAACCACCCTTCCCAGAGAATCAAGGAATCAGCAAAGTGAAGGCAAGCAGAGGAATTCCTAGGACTGTGGCTGACAGACTGAAAGTCCTTGTTCTTAAAATGGGGCACTGAAAAAAAAGTTTTAACTCAGTAGAAGATGAGTATGTACTACTGGTTTGTGGCCATTCTGCTCAAAGGATCAGTTAGGCATCTCTGGGTGGCATAGCCATCTGTGCTGACCTTAAAAGGCAGAGGTACAGAAAGCAGGTATACTGGTCTATACTATGCTGACCTTTTCTTCCTCATTGATTCACTCATTGATGCATTCCAGGATTTATTCAGCTTGTTTGGAGATACACTAGTGCCACACTCTTCTCAGAGGCCCACCCCCTAGAGTGGGAAAGGGACTGAAAAACTCCTGACCTGCAGGTCAGTCACTTCAGAGGCTTTATTTATGTAGTTTTAACTTTTTAAAAATATATATTTTATTGATTTTTTTTGAGAGGAAGAGAGAGGCATAGAGAGCTAGAAACATCAATGGAGAGAAACACCCATCAGCCACTTCCTGCACACCCCCCACAGGGGATGTGCCCGCAACCAAGATAGATGCCCTTGATAGGAATCGAACCTGGGACCTTTCAGTCCGCAAGTCGCACTCTATCCACTGAGCCAAACCGGTTTTGGCTTTAATTTTTTTATTTGTTTATTTTAGAGGAAGAGAGGGCGAGAAGGTGGGAAGAAAGGAGAGAGGAAGATGAGGGAGAAAGGGAGGGAGGGAGGAAATAAGAATAACCACGTGAGCTACCCAGCCAGAGCCAAAGGCTTATTTAGTTTGCTGTCTCCTTAGCCTCTCTGTTCACATCTGGGGGGCTCCAGCCAGCTATTTCAGAAGGTTTTGCCTGAATAGCAGCTTTCTCGTGCCCTAGTAGCCCCACCCCTCTATGGTTGAGAAAGGGAGCTCGGGGCTGTTGTGAAGGCCTGGGGGAGGTGATAATGCCCGTCTTTTCCACCAAGATAAGAACACACCTGCCAAATTTGCAGACCCCCCTTCCCCAGCCTCCTTTGAGAAGAGGTGCGGTAAGGGCTGGAAGAATTGGATGATGCGTGTGAACAAGGTTGGGGAAGGATGTTATGGATTGACGCCCACTGTCTCCCTCCCCCAGTCTTCAAACTGAGGCTTCTGAGAACCGAGGGGCTGGTGGCTTTGGTGGTGAGGGAGCCCACTCCCTTTTTCTCCTCTTTATTTTCCTGCCCAGATGCCCAAATATTATCCCTCCATTCCCTGGAGAGAAGAGTCCCACCACCCTGCCGCAGGCGCCAGCCTGCCAGCCCATCTGCTGGGGAGAAAAGGGTCAGCGCCTTTCCCAGAAGATCCTGAAGAACCAGGGGGAAGATTCCGCGCTCCTGGGGAGACCCATCCACTAAGTCTAGAGGGAGAGGGCATGCTGGCTCCCCCGGGGTACCTGGCAGCCTGGGACTGTGCACGGAGTGGGCTGGGGTCGAGGAGCTGGGGCTGGCACATGGGGTGGGGCCCTTTGGCCACCACGTGTCCTAGGCGGGCCGAGCAGCTCCTTGGTGCCAACCCGCCCGCGGGATGTTGAGAACACCCCCCTCCCCGCGCCCAGTCTCACCGGCTTGGAGGCGCCAGGGCCCCCCCGGGGCCGGGTCGGGCCGGGGAAGGTAATGTAATTCCGACCCAGCTAACCCGATTATGGCGGCCTGCACCGGGCCGGGCGGCGGCAGGGGCGGGTCTAAGGCGAAGGGGCCCGTCGGGCCAGGGGTCCCATCCTGGGGAAGGACGCCGAGTTCACACACTCCCAGCTCCTGGGTCCTTAGCCAGAGGTCACGAGGTCACCAAACTGCTTCGGTCTTTCCCCAAAGACCCCGCTTCCCTGACACGCTCCAGGCACAGCTCCCTGCGCTGGGGCTGGGTGGAGCGTCTGTAGGAAACAAGGCAGCCGGTCCCCCTCGGAAGGCTTTGGTGTCTCCGGTGGAGATTTCGTCCTCCCGCCCGGGGTGGGATAGAGTGGGGGGTGGGGGGTAGGGGAAAGTGTGTGAGAATCGACTTCCCAGGTGCAGAGCCCCTCTTGGGTGGCCCTCTGCCGGGGGCAGAACAGGCAACCCCAAACTCACACCGGCCTAAGTTGGCCCCCATTCAGCCGCGAGCCCGCTTTGCACCGATTTCAGAAAAATCGAAATTCTAAGGAACGCAAGGGCACCGCCAATGGCAGGCGCTCCCGAAAGGAGCTGGGGGTCCCACGGAAGAGGCCAGGGGGTGACCCAGGACCCTGGCCCAGAGTGGCCGCGCCCCGCCCTGGCCCGCCAGCTGCGCCCGCCGCCGCTGCCCACACCTGTTCCGCCCGGGCCTTCCCGGCCGCGCCGGTCCCCCGCGGCTGCCCATCGCATCCTGGAGGCCACAACGAGATTTGGTCTTCGAGGGCTCGTAGGCGGCGGGCACAACGAATCCGGGGGTCCGCAGGCAGGCCCCATCGGGAGGCGGAGAGTGGGGGGTGTGGGGAGAGACACCCATGAGGAAACGCCGAGGCGGAGGCGGCGGGGAGGCGGCAGCCGCGCGCATCCCGGCTGACTCAGCGCGCAGCCGCCCCGCGCCCGCCCCTCCCGGCCGGAGCCGGACTCCTCACCCCCGGCCGCCTCCCCACCCCGCCCCCCATCCCCATCGACCAGGCGCACAGCGGCGCCTCTTCCCCTTTAACGGGCCGGGCCCCGCCCCTGCCCTACCCCCAGCCCTCGCTGCCCCCCGGAGGCAGAGCTGTCAGTCTCTGCCCGGCCCGCGCCCGCCACCCTCTCTGCCCCGGACCCGGGCAGAAGCCCGGCAACCCGGCGCCCATCTGCGCCTGAGACGGAAGGGCGCTCCTGGGCCCCCGGGATGCGAGGTCCCGCACCGACGCCCCGCAGAGGCCGGCATGGGCGCGGCTACTGCCCGTGCGCTGGGATGAAGCTGTGCCGGGGGCCCCGGCGCCCAGGCGCGGCCGGCTCCGCGGGCCCCTGAGGCCGCCGCCCCGAGCGCTCCGCCGCTGCTGGGCTCCCCGAGCTGCCTGGGGCGCCCTCCAAACCGCCGGACCTCCTGCGGTCCCCCCCCAGCCCGGACCCCCATGGAGCCGGCGGTGCTGGCCTCGCACGGCCTCCCGCACCACGAGCCCATCAGCTTCGGCATCGACCAGATCCTGAGCTGCCCGGAGTCCACCGGGAGCGGCCTGGGCCCGGGGCGCGCGGGGGGCCAGGGCCACGGGGACGGGGCGGCGTTCTCAGGTGCCTTTCCTGGAGCCTCGAACTACGGCCCCTCCGGCTCGCTGGGCCCGCTCCCCGGCGGCTCTGGCCTGGGCCCCAGCGGCGGCGGCGGCGTGATCCGCGTCCCCGCGCACCGCCCGCTGCCCGTGCCGCCGCCGCCGCCGCCCGCGGGGAGCGCGCCTGCCGTGCCGGTGCCCGGCCCCTCGGGCTTGGCCGGCACCGGGGGCCTCGCGGGACTCACCTTCCCCTGGATGGACAGCGGCCGCCGCTTTGCCAAGGACCGGCTGACGGGTGAGGATGCCCAACCCCTCCCACCGTTTTGTCCCAAGGTGACTGGGTTTGCTCATCTTTGATCCTTGGCAAGCTCCACGTCCAGGTGGCCTTTCACACTCTTCCCTCCGATCGTGTCAGGGGACCCCTCCCCACGTAGGTGTCTTGGTTCCAATGCGGAGAGGGCGTGGGAGGTGAGCTACCGTCGATGCCCGTGCCCTTCTCTGAAGGCCCCTGCCCACGCCGTGGCGCGGGGAGAGCAGGGTGAAGTCATGGGGACCGTTCTCCCTCGCCCAGGCCCATTCCTTCCAAGCCCTTTCCTGTCCAGGGGCCTCCAGGGGTGCGGGGGCGAACTGGGGGCTCCAGTAAGGACCGCATGCGTGGAGCTCTGCGGACCGGACAGCCGCGCTATCTTCTCAGGGACCCCCTGGGCCTGCGTCTTAGGGACCCCCTGGGCCTGCGTCTCGGGGACCCCCTGGGCCGCCCCGCAAGCCCTGCCCCGCTCTTTACCCCTCCCTCCCCGCAGCCGCGCTCTCCCCCTTCTCCGGGACGCGCCGCATCGGCCATCCTTACCAGAACCGGACCCCGCCGAAGCGGAAGAAGCCGCGCACGTCCTTCTCGCGCTCGCAGGTGCTGGAGCTGGAGCGGCGCTTCCTGCGCCAGAAGTACCTGGCGTCGGCGGAGAGGGCGGCGCTGGCCAAGGCGCTGCGCATGACGGACGCTCAGGTCAAGACGTGGTTCCAGAACCGGCGCACCAAGTGGCGGTGAGGCGCGGGGCGGGGAGGGACCGCGGGCCGGACCCGCTGGCGGTGAGGCTCGGGCTGGGCGAGGGCCGGCCTCGCTGACCCCGCATCTCCTCCCGCCCGTCCAGGCGCCAGACGGCGGAGGAGCGCGAGGCGGAGCGGCACCGCGCGGGCCGGCTGCTCCTGCACCTGCAGCAGGACGCGCTGCCACGGCCGCTGCGGCCGCCGCTGCCCCCGGACCCGCTCTGCCTGCACAACTCGTCGCTCTTCGCGCTGCAGAACTTGCAGCCCTGGGCCGAGGACAACAAGGTGGCTTCCGTGTCCGGGCTCGCCTCGGTGGTGTGAGCTACGACGCCTGGCTGGCTGGCTGGCCCAAAGCTTTTCCGGACCGAGGCGCCGGGTGGAGCGCTGGGCCCAGGGCTGGGGGTCGTGCGGCAGCCCCCACCGTGCAACGCGCGAGGAGGAACCGGCCTGGAGCTCCCCTCGAGGGCTCCTCGGCCACTGCCAGCTCCCGGGCCAACATGGCATGCTTGCCCCGCAAGCAGAGACTCGGCCTTTCCCGCCGTTTTCTGCTGCTTGGATGGTCCCATGGCTGCTGGATCCTGAGAGGCCAACTGGGCGGGACCTTCAGTACAGTAGCCAATGAAGTGCGGAGAGTGGGGCGGGCTGGCCAATGGGAGTTGCTTCCCCTAGAGACCCCGGGAGTCTTCTGCAGGTGGGTCGGACTCGCGGTTCTGCGGAGCCAGAGCAGGTAAATGGTGATGCTTCGATGGGGGGAGCCCGCACTGGCTGGGTGGGTACCAAAGGTGTGATGGAAGGATGATGCCAAGGACAGCGGAGTAATGGAAGAGATGCTGGAGAAGGAGTCTGACTGTGACAGGAACCAGAGGGTTATCCATGTTGGGCATCGCATCTTTCTACTGTAAAATAATCGCTAAGGATTCTTCTTGTGGAGCCTCATGTTGTCCGTGTGTGTTCAAACTGCTGACTGCATTCCCCAACACAGCGCTTGGGGAGACAGATTAGTTCTGTCAGGGGAGACAGATTAGTTCTTTCATCTTCCACTTGATGAAAGAGAAAATCTAGGAACACTAATCCCGTTGGGATAGAGAGGATAGAGGAGGAAGAAGGGGACAAAGTTAATGGACCCGTGGAGTTGGGATGAGCAGAAGTTGGCAAAAAATTCGGAAGTGCTAGATCTAAGAAGAATCATAGGTAATTCCAAGGTTGGAAATGTATCCACACCACAGGATATCAATGGTGTGGACGATGAAGGAGAGATTGGGAAGACAGGACCAAGATGAATTCTACAGGAAAAACTAAATGCTAGACCTAGAAAGAATAAATTCTGGCAAAGTGCCTTTGGGGGAAGTCAGGTGACATCCACATAGACGTAGAGACAGAGTGATGACAGAAATTCCAAAAGGGGACACTATTAAGAGAAGGCAGAGTTCTAAGGATTCTTTTCCCTTCCGAATTCTACAAACACATTTACAATGTGCAAGGTAATGGAGGTCTTCCAAGTTAGCAGTCCGAGGGAAGGAAAGGGAAAGGAGTACCCAGCTGGAAAGAAAGGAAAGCATGATGTCCTTGAAGTTGTTAAATACTTTAGCTTGTAGGCGGGCCAGGGGCTGCTGGGAAGCTTTTAGATGGAAAGTTGCAACAGCTTTGAGGTTTAAGGAGCAGAAAGAGAGAGAGGGGGGGAGGGGAGAGGATTTAAGTTGTATAAGGACAAAAGGGAAGATTTTCTCTGATTCCTATGACACTCCAATTCTTTCCTGGAGGTAGGAGCAGGATAATAGAGGGAATTAAGTTTTAGGCAGGGTGAGGCCAACTATAGTCACACTACTCATGTTCTGCATTAGTGACAGCCAGGTCAGCCATAGCACACAGTCTTGTCCAGAAGTGGGAACCTGGCAAATTGCTTGAGGAGTTGGCCCTGATTCTTTGATATTAACCCTTTGTTTTTATGGATTTTTAGAGGGAGAGGAAGGGAGAGGGATAGATAGAAACATAAATGACAGAACATCATTGATCAACTGCCTCTTGCATGGTCCCTATTGGGGGAGGATTAAGCCTGCAACCTGGTCAAGTACCCTGATTGGGAATTGAACCAACAACCTTTTGGTTCCTGGCTCGATGCTCAAAGGCTTAGCCATACTAGCCAGGGTGCCTCATGTTGTATATGCTGCTGCAGAACCAAGCTTAAATTTGGCACTATCGAAAAAGGACTTTTGTAGCTCAAAAGGAAGCACAAGAATAGGTTTAGCTTAAGTTGAGGATATGGGGGCATATCAGTCCCTCTCCAATAAATAGAAGAAGGCTAAGGAAAGGGTCCTACCCTATGTAGTTTGTGGCTTACCTCCAGCCCAACACTTCTTTAAAAATGTTTTCTTAGAAAATGTATTACTGATTTAAGACAGACAGAGAGAGACAGAGAGAGACCAATTTGTTGTTCCACTTATTTGGACAGCATTCATTGGTTGATTTTTGTATGTGCCCTGACCAGGGATCAAACCACAAACTTGGCGAATCAGGATGACACTCTAACCACTCTAACCACTTGAGCTAGGTGGCCAGGGCCCCAGCCTACCAATTCTTGAGACTCAAGATTCCAAGATTTATATTGGATCCTAAACTTTTGGCTTAAAAAAAAAAGGTATTTTTAAAAATTGATTTCAGAGAGGAAAGGAGAGGGAGAGATAGAAACATCAACGATGAGAAACATGGATTGTCTGCCTCCTGCACACCCCCTACTGGGGACCAAGCCCACAACCCAGGCATATGCCCTTGACAGGAATTGAACGTTAAGACCTTTCAGTCTGCAGGCTGACACTCTATCCACTGAGCAAAACCAGCCAGGGCTCGGCTTTTTTTTTTTTTTTTTTTAATTAATTTATTTTATTTTTATTTTTTATTTTATTTTATTGATTTCAGAGACGGAGAGGGAATGTCAATGATGAGAATCACTGATTGGTTCCGTCCTGCATGCCCCCTCTTGGGGACCAAGTCTGCACCCCGGGCACATACCGTGACTGGAAATCGGGCACATACTCTGACTGGAAATCGAACTTAGACCTCCTGGTTCATAGGTCTATACCCAACCTCTGAGCCACACCCACGGGGCAACTTTCAGCCTTTAAATCTGGCTGGCTGCCATGGTGCCAGAGTGAGGAAGGACTCAATACAATGAGATGAGTTCTGCTCCATTCCTTAGGCAGGTCACTGCAGGACACAGGCATCTCTAAACTCTTGGGTGGAGGAAGATTCACTCTCTGTTGAAGAATCTGCCATTTCTTCTCTCAGCTGGTTTAGGAAGTCTCTGCTTTCACTGGGCGGCAGGTTACTCAGGAAGTATGGAGGAGCCAACTCCACCAGCCTGACACAGAGGGTCATAATTAGATGATTTCCATATACTCTCTCATAAAGCTTCTTTTTATACTTCTGACTATCCCTTCCACAAACCCTGTCTTCTCAAATCATGTTACTACAGACCACTATGATTCCCTCTTCTTCTTAAGACTCTCTAATGCCTCAGCCATATTTCTGGCCCCAGGAAGATGAATGGCAGTGTAGGAGGGGTGTCATGGAACTCACATCTGTGGTTGAATCTCAGAAACAATGGAAAGGCAGTTGTCTTTGGAAACGGAGAAACTGTGGTAAAGCACCCACGGTGGGGGCCTGGCTGGAGCCCGGCGGCTTCGGTAGCAGCAGTATGGGGAGAGCTGGGCCACGTGCTTATGGGTTAGGAGCAGGTAATTTCCACTCCCATCCGTGTCTCGGGCCACCTCATTGAAAGGCAAAGATATTGAAGGAATAAGTTACAGAGAAGAGGCAGACAGTGGAAAAGGGTAAGGGGAGATGAGAAGGAATTAGTAAGGGTGGTGAGTGTTTAAAAGTAAAACATTTCCTCTAGATGTTATAGTTCTTCCATACCACAAGCTCCTTGTACCCCAAAGGAAGTTAGTGCTGGTTCTATAGAGTCTTCTGAATGGCCATCTGGACCCCAGTTTTCAGAGATGGCATACCAATCTTTGGTCTCTCTGACTTCCAATCCTTTTATGAGCCCAACTCTTTCCCCTAACCTTAAGGAAGTATCCAGACACCAGTGCTTTCTGAAGGTCTCTGCGATTCTTCTCAGAGCCAAAGGCTGGCTGGGACAAGGGAAGTTCAATTCGCTGCATAAGTTCTAGGAGTTCTCCTCGAAGTTTCTGGGCTTGACACAGTGCTGCCCAGTTTAGACCCCGAGCCTGGCACCAAGCCTTGTCTGCTCCACCTAGGGGAGGAAAGGGACCAGCTACAACTTCAGCCTTAAGACCCCCGAAAGAGCCAAACCCCTGACCAAAGGGCCTCCTCTTCCTGGGCATAGAGATCTGGCAGCTGGCTGCACACCGTTTATGGAAAGCCTGGGATTCTGTAAGACCACACAGTGGGCCACTCACTCTGTAGAAAGGCTTCATACACCTGGATCAGAGAACTGTGGTCGCCGTCCGCGTGCTCCAGGGCCCGGCGTAAAGCAGCTTCCTCCGCACAGAGTGGAGGACGGGTAAACCCGGGGGCAGCTGCAGGCAGGAGAGAGGAAGGATGTTTGGGGGAAGGAGAAAGGATAGAACAGGTGGGATGGTAAAAAGGCAGAAATGTCAGTTTGGGAGCTTAATTCAAAAGACACTGATAACTTCTTCTTTTTTTTTTTTTTAAAGTTTCTTTTAAAAAAATATATTTTATTGATTTTTTACAGAGAGGAAGGGAGAGAGATAGAGAGCTAGAAACGTCGATGAGAGAGAAACATCAACCAGCTGCCTCTTGCACACTCCCTACCAGGGATGTGCCCTTGACTGGAATCGAACCTGGGACCTTTCAGACCGACGCTCTACCACTGAGCCAAACCGGTTTTGGCGACACTGATAACTTCTAAGTGCTATTAGACATTGAAGGTAAATGAAAGACAGTCTCTGTCCTCAAGGAGTCTGGTGGGAGAGACAAACAAGTGAGCAAACCTGATGAGCATGATAGTTGTGTGGGCCAAGATTTGACATTTGAGTAGGAATTAGCTCAGTGGCAAGAAGTGGAGAGAGGATTCTGGACTGTGGGCACAGCAAGTTAGGAGCATGGCATGTTTGGAGAATGGCAAAAGCCTAGTATGGGTGGAGGGAATGGCGTGCATGGCAGAATTACAGGGGATGAAGCTGGGGAGGTAGATATGGGCCAGGTTGTGAGAGGCTGGATGTGCTGGGTAAATGAGTTTACAGTCTGTCTAAAAGGTAAAAAGTATCTGTTGAAGTGTTTTTAAGTAAGAGAGTCCCTGTGTTTGAAGAAGTTCGAAATTCACATGACTAATTAGGAGG